CGTCTGCTTCGTTGCATTTGAGGGAAATGTTGACATCGATTTGACTTAAACCTTCTCCCCAGAGTGATTTCCTCCCTTTCCTTTGTCAACAGAAGAATGGTTTATTATTGCCAGCTTTGGCCTCCTCAGTGCGCTCACGCTCTGCTACATGATCATCAGAGCCACAGCTAGCTTGAATGCTAATGAGTAAGTAACAAATTGTTTGTTGGATTGCATGTGCCAGATGGTCCCGAGAAAACACACACAGTGATTTTTCACGAAGGCAGTGAGGATTGGATTTCCTCCAGTTTCATACTGATCCCGATGGCATCATAGCTAGCAAAATAATTTACTTCATGAACGTATGTTTTCAGTCAGTTACACAGGTTGGGAGTTCACCTTGTTCAACAGAAACAGCTCGTTTGAGAAAAGATCTAAAGGTTTTCATTAGCCACAAGCTTAGAACGAATCGACAATGTTGTACAGATGCCCAGGGGAACCAGTGTAGTCTTTGTATGTAAAGAATGTCAGTGTCTCCCATTGACAGGGACAGCCCCACTTTGTGCTCATCAGACCTTATCTGGAGTCTCACACGGTCAGCTTTTGGTGGAGCCCAGGCAGCCTTGCTGTGGTCAGGGCACAGTGCCCTGGCTGTTTAGCCCATAGGAAAGAAGCCATCAGGAAGACCCGCTGTTTCCAAATATTAGGAAGACTGTCGGGGGACAGAGAAAATAATTATAAACTCCATCTCCAAAGGGCAAAATGAGGACCGAAGGGAGGCTACAGGAAGGCAAGTTTCACCTAAGTAAAAGGAAGAACGTCTGTCAGGGAGGCCACTTACTGGGGGGATGAGTTCCTGCGGGGAGTGCCCAGGACTGGGAATGCAGGCAGAGGTGGGCCTCATGCTTTCCAGAGGGTGGGAAATTGGGCTAGATGACTGTAAAGGTCCGTTATGATGCAGTGATTTTCCAAGGGTAGCTTTCCACGGGGATAAGATGTAGAAAAAGTTTTTTGTTTTTGTTTTGTTTTAAATTGGGGCATTTACTGCAGGATATCATTCAGTCCTTTCTTTCACCAGGATTCGTGAAAACTAGTTAAAGATGAAAGGAACCCTGGGTCACTGCCTAAATTTGACCTAAATTGGCACTGGTGGGATTCACGTGCTCTCCATGTTCAGTTATGTCCTGACACTAGACCTGGTGAGTCGTGACCAGATGAGCCCACGCAGTTGATTTCATTGACTGCTGTTGCCCAGCTGTAGAAACACGGGGCAGATCACCTCTGCCCGGTGACGTGATCTTAGTGCATCTAACGTGGTCTGTTGGCCAGAGACTTGCAAGAGCGACCCCTTACACACGGCGGGTGTCGTGGTCTGCTGGCGTTCTCCAGCCTTCAGCTGCGTAGTCTCATCCAGCGGGTAGACCACCAGCTGCTTCTGCTGGGCCGCCCGACGCAGTTTCCCTTCAACGCGGCACGGTGTTAATGACTCAGATTCGAGAGTCAGGCACCCCTGGATTTGACTCCCATCTCCTCCATTTTTCAGTTGTGGGACCTGGACAGTTACGTTTATCTGACGCTCCCTTCAGTCATCCATAAAACGGAGATAATGGTAGGGCTGTGAGCATTAGCATATAAAGTGCTTAGCACAGTGCCTGGTACATAATAAGTGCTCAATAAATGTTAGCCAAACTGATGCTGCTGAGATTCTGTCAAAGTTCTGTGAATAAGATGGCCGTCTGTCTTTGTCATTTGACAAATGAATTTAATTTCTTTCATGAAATAGGACATAGAGCCATAGGAACTTGTGAGTGCTGATGGTTCAGACCCCAGGTCAGCAGGGAATATCCATTCCACCTGCCGCCACCACTCTTGCTCACTGCCGTGCTGGCCCACCAGGCTGGGCTGCGATTCGAGCTCACTTAGAAACTTCGCAGATGAGTGACGACCTACACAAGCAAAGTGACACTCTGAACTTTTAGAGAATTAGTGAGTAGTTCAGTGGTCACCTGGCTGCCACTCAGAATCTGCCAGATGCTCGGTCCACGCGTCAGATATCTTGGAGGGGGCTCAGTAGACATGTTGCCTGCTGCAGAGCAGAGTGCCTGGGCCGTGACGTTTCCAGTGCATGCGCGGGTGCCTGCGCGGCTCAGAGCCGAGTCCCGGGTCTGAGATCCGTGGCTTAGTCCGGGCCTCCCCCCATTAGCCTTGGAGAGGTTGCTGTTGCAGTGTCATTTGGATAGGGTTTCTGTGCCTTCAGTCAGAACCACTCTGAAGGACAATGTTCATGACCCAATTTAGAGAGAGAAATTGAAAGAGAGAGTGTGTGCGTGTGTCTGTGCATGTGTGTGTGCATACACACATAGGGATGCATGAAAGGACGGTCACCAAAATATTAATGGTGATTGTCGAAAATTAGAATTTGGGGTGATGTTTTCCTTTTCAATATATGCTTTTTTGTGTGTTGAATTTTTTTTAACA